AAAGATGAATATGCAATTTCTGGATGGGCAAGATTTGTAGATCCAGCATCAGTCGCACCATGGCATTTTCTATATAGAGTGTAAATTTATAATAAAGATACTGATGGATTAAAGGATGCAGAAAGACCAGGAGATAGAACATTTGTATGTTGGAAGGGTAATGGATTTTTCTGGATTACAACTTATACGATTGATTAAGGTAATGCTGGCGTAATGAGTTTGCCAAGACAAAGTCCATATGATGAAGTATTATATAAGAATTGGGTTTATTTCTATTAAGGATATTCAAGATAGAAGTAAAATGTTCACTCATATATAAAATATACATCAAAAGATATACACTTTGATGTTCCAGCTAATCATTTTGTTCCAACATAATTCTTTGTTTAATTCGGTAAAGAATAATGGGATGTTGCATGGAATGGGTTCCTTGAATCATGGCATTTCAATACTGGTAATGGAGCATACAAGACTTCAGATTATGGAATAGATGAATCAGATTAATTATCATTTGGATTTGGTGGAAGAGTGATACCAAAGCCATAGAATTGGGAATCTAAAGATATGTTCTAAAATAATTGGGGACCGACAGAATAATCAATAGGAAAAGAAGTAGAAATAAAAGATGAGTACATAAATGGATTGACAGAATATGGATATGGAATGTGGACAAGATTCCTTTGGAATGGAGAGAAAAAGATTGTATCAAAACCAGCTTGGATGGCTTTATCAAGATTAACATACAGACCAAATTATTAAGGAGATGCAGCTTAAATAGGAGATAGATTATTAGCTATATGGATAGGAACAGGGGCCTATCATTTCACAACATCAATGCCAGGAAATGGAAATGTGGTTAATAATATAAATTATAATAATTTATTGGATGGTTAATGGAATTATATTTATTATGGATATAAGAAATTTGAAAAAGGTGGAAATGTAGTAGGACATGTATTATTTGGAGGTTCAGCTGCTAGAACAACTAATTTCCCTGATATAGTTAATCATTTACCATTAACTGATTATTTGTATTTCTGTGTTGGTAGTTCAGGTTCTAAATTGAGAACAAATTATCATTCATTTAATGGGCATATCTCAAATGTTATATTGATGTTAGGAGATGGTGCTTTTTATAAGAATCCAGATGATCTCAGAAAATAAATACCAGAAATGCCAAAATTCCCAGAATTAGTACCAATTAAAGAAGTTATTTTTGAAGAAGTAAGAGAAATGAAGAGAGAGGTTGGATAAGTGGCTCCAGTAGAATTTGCTGATAAATTTGCAGGATAAAATGAATATTCAGTATCTCTTTGGTTTAAATGGTCTTCGATAGCTAGAGCAACTTGGGAGAATGTTTATACTCTCTCATATAATGAACCAAATGTCAGAGCAAATCATGTGAATTCTGGAGACAGAGTTTTATCATTATTCTAATATGCTGATCATAGATAATTCTTTAGTACATTTACTAATCCAGATGTTGATGATGCATTTTAAGCAATCTTTACAGAGTGCCCAACTCCAGCACTTGATTAAACTGCTTGGGTTTATGCTTATTTTGCTTATAGTAAAAAAGCTGCTAGTGTTTATAGTTTCTACAAGACTAGAACTACTGAATGTGAAAAGAAATTGCCAGCATCTCATAGAGTTCCAAGATACTTTGCATTATATGTTGGAAAGGATGGAATTCACACTCCATATAATGGTAAATATTAACAAGTGTATTTAATGGCTGGAACTGGTGCCTATAGAGATAAAGATGTTTTAAGTTTTGATCCATATATTGCAGGTGCTTTGGGAGTTTAATCAAAACCATACAAATGGGCAGATAAGAAAGATGAATTTGAATAACCATTTGATGGAACTATGTAATAAGAATTGGATCCAGCAGTAATAGATGGACATTCAGCATATGCAATTGGATTCTGGAGTAGATATTTAACAGCCATTCCTAAGAGAGTCTTAGAAAAACCAGCATGGGTATCAATGGCTAGATTTACAGTTAATAAAAACTATTAAGATTTAGCTAATGTTGGTGATAGAACTCTTGCATTATGGTTAGGAAAAGGAATTTATGGATTTAGAACATATAATTTGGCTACAAATACATAATCTATTGCCTAAGATATTAAATATGATGATAAATTAGAAGGAGAATGGAACTTTATTTACTTCTGTTTTGCTAGTTCAAAATAATAAGCAATAGGTTATGTCAAATTTAGTAGTACAGGAGATGTAAAGAGGGTTACCTTCCCAGAAATTACACATAAACCAGTTGAAGGTTATGGTAAAGTTATAATAGGGAAGGAATTTACTTATCCAGGATTCAGTGGTAGAATTTCATAATTGTAAATGCTTTTTGGTGGATAAGGTTATATTCCTGATGTAGAAGCATTAGAAGCTTTAATTAAAACTACATTCCCATAACCAGATCTTAATATTCCTGATACCTAGGTTTTAAAAATATAAGAAGATGAAGTTTTAAAGAAGGTTGGAGATAATCCATAAATCACTGAATGGCCTACTCAATATTAAGAATCTCTTGAATATTCTATCTTTGGATGGTTCAGATATGCTTCACCTAAATTATTGAAAGATAATAATGTCTTTTTAAGATTGACAAACAATGAACCAGCTTATAGAAAAGAAGCAGCTATTGTAGGAGATAGAACACTTTTAATTATGTATTAACCAAATGAAGTAGTGTTCTCAACATATACTCTTGGTACTATTGATGATGGTTAGATTGCTAACATTAGAAAATCAACACCACTTGGAAATAACTTTGGAGTTTGGACTTATGTTTGGTTTGGTTATAGTTGGCCAAAAAAGGTTGCTTCAGGTATTGTGAAATTCCCATCAGATAAGGCTGTTGTTCCATATGATAATGTATTACATATGGTACCTAAATATTTTGCTTTGTTTGCAGGATCCGATGGTTTATTAGGAGGATGGGATGGACCTATGAGAAAAGTAGGAGCAATCTTTGGAAAAGGTGCTTATATTGATCCAACTAAAGGAAACTATGAGAATATGTTACCAAACTTATTAGGAATATAAGCTAAGAAATCAGAATGGAAACCTGCTAAAGAAGAAATAATACTTGTTCCAATAAAAGATAAACCAGGATATGATTTAACATTTAAAGAAGAAGTAGGTGGAGTTACTGAGTATGGTTACGGATTATGGACAAGATGGTTGATGACCACTCCAGATAGAGTAATTGAGAAATCTCCATTCCATTAATTGATTAGATTAACCAGTACTGAAAAATATGAGGATAACGTTGCTCTAGGAAATAGAGTATTAGCTATATGGGCTGGTAAAGGATATTATCACTTCACTACTTATGATAAGAAGAATAATAAAGCATCAATTTCTGCTAATTCAAATTATGATGATTACCTTGAAGGACATTGGAATTATATTTATTATTCATTCACAGCATAGGATTCAGCTAGAGCAGTAGGTTTTGTTCACTTTGGAGATTTACCAGTATAAACAGTTTCTAGAATTGAATTAATAGATATAGCTCATAATCCATTGAATGGTTATGCTAGAGTTGTTGTAGCTAATAATGACTTTGGATATCCATCATTTAATGGTATGATTACTGGTTTAAGAATCTTCTTTGGATAAGGATTTGTTGGTTCTAAAGAATAATTCCTAAAAGATGTTTTAGCAGTCTAACCTAAACCATAATTGACAGTACCTGTTAGAACTGATATTAATGTTTTGAAAGAAGAGAAGGTAATTAATAAAGGTGATGCTGGAATTCCTATTAAAACATAATATGATTAATATTAGGGAGTTCTTGAATATGCAGTATCTGGTTGGGTATAAACTAGAAAAGGATAAGCTGATGAATTAACAAGAATGATTTTCAGATTAACTATTAATGATCCATTAATTCAAAAAGATAAATCATTAGCTGGTGATAGAACTCTTACATGTTTCTTATTTAAAGATGCCTTCACTTTCTCTACATATGATTATGGAGATCTAGATAGTAATGATGATGATTAAAATGATATCTAATGGCCATCAAAGATAGGAGCAAATGGAGGTGAATGGATATTTTTATACTTTGGTTATAATTCTAAGATTAGAAAAGCTTTTGCTTACACACTATTCTTAAATAGAGAGTTAGGAAATCAATATAATGATTTGAAACACTTTGTTCCTAATAAATTCTGGTTCTATTTAGGTGGAGATGGATTCAATCAATAATTTGAAGGTACAATGTTTAATTGGAATCTAAATTTTGGTGATGGTGCTTTTACTAATAAACCAAAATCAGTTATTTCTTCATGGCCATATGAACCATAATAATAAGCAGCTGATTAAGTACTTTCAGTTTTACTTGGTAATTAAGGTTTAAGTTCAATTAAATTGACAAGATTATCTGGACCAGCTTCTGGATAATTTGATGTTAAAGGAGGTCCAGCATCTGGATAATTTACAGTCAATAGAGGACCAGCTTCAGGAGTTGTAGAGAAATCAGCTGGAGCTTAATCAGGAGTTGTTGAATAATCAACAGGACCTAAATCAGGTTAAACTAGTGCAGCAGCTGGACCTAAATCAGGTTAAAGTGAAACAGCAGCAAGACCTTAATCTGGAACTTCACAATGAATGATTTGATTATTCACATTTAAAAACAAACATAAAAAATATCATTTTTATATTATTTTTATTATAACATATAGCAAATGTCACATTCAAAGATAAATGAATAATTTAGTATCTCAAAAATCAGATTTACGTATTATCTCTAGAATTAATTAAGTTCAGATAATATAAAATTTATATTTTAATTATGTGTTAATTATTTTAATAAATCTTTTTTTTTTATAAATATTTTAATGTTCCAGCTCTCTGTTTTCTCTAAGTCTCTTGATACATAAGTAGAAATGATTTATATATATTAATTGATCAAAAATAAGAGGATTTATAAATAAGTGAATGATTTATAGAAATCTAATTTTTATTTAAATTCTGTTTTATATTGATAACATGGCTCATCAACCTAAAAGTTTCACCTGGACTTAAACTTCTTGTACTGTAAAAACAAAAAGCTCTTACTAATGCCTTCGATAAACAGTTACACCTAATGTTGGGCCAGTTTATTTGAAAATTGATACAGAAAGAGAGTTCTAACACACAAATGATTTAGGGTGGAATTGGCATAAAAGTTGGAATATACCTAATATATCTATTAAATTAGTTTTAAAAAATGAAGAATGTGCATAATGGATGAATTGTTAAGTAAAAAAAAGAAACTATTTTTAGGTTCAACTAATGGCTGTGAAACTATTATAACCTGATCTATTCGAAGAAGTAGGATTGGAAGGAACAACTTTATATGAATTAGAGGAAGGAAGAGCATTTTTCAATGTAAATTCATTAAACGACTTTAGGGTGTAAAATTTAATAGTACCACTTATAATCATCAAGGCCATAAATTTTAATTGTTATTAGTAATTAAAGAAGGAGAGAACATCATTCTTACCTTACAGTCACCTCCAATTTTTATAGACAGTAGAAAAAGTGCTCGTGATGAACATAGATAAATATAATACATCTAACCATTCGAACCTAAATACTTAGAACGTAATTTCTGTAAGAAAGAAAAACATTAAAATGATGTTATTGATGCACCTATTGAAAATAATGAAAATGGATTACATAATTATTTAACTGCACCTAATATCAGAAACAAAGTAAAATATATACTATTTTCTCAGATTAAACATCCTATATTTCTGGCCTTAAAGTTTTCTAGATGTTTCAGTATTTACTATTCAGGAAATTCTGAAATAGAAAATCATTTGATTGAATTCTAGAAGCAACTAATGTTTAAATGCCAAATATCATAATATTTAATTGTTTTTTAGTCAAATAATAATAGAATTAAGAGGAAAGTAAATTAATTCATATATTCTTTTAGATTGAGGATTCTTTAAATTAATTATATGGATAAACTAAAATTAAAATAGTTGAAAAGAAGCTTCTTAATGAACACATCTATTAAAAGTTAGAGTTTAATTAAGAGGATTATAGATAAAGTTATAATTAATTGATTCTATTGATGAATTAATTTATTCTTGAATAATAAGAAAAATCAGAATCTGATCAATAGAATATCAAGTAAGATAAATAGGTGTCTATTGAAATTGAACCTTAGTCTCAATCATAAATTAAATAAACTTTTAATCATTTAGAAAAAAAGTCAGCTTTTAAAAAATACAAAGACTTTGATAAATTACCAACTAAAAATTTCGAAGATGAAAAATTAGAATAATATTAAAGACTAGAGAAGTTAAAAAATATTCGAGAAATGGAAAATTAAGATAAATTACAAAAGATAGTAAAGATAGAAGAAAATAATAATTAATTACAATAATATTAATTATTATAATAACAATAATTACAATAATAATATCAATAGTCATAATTTGTATCAAATAATTATGTTAACTAAATCAATGAATTAAATTCTAATGTAAAATATTTATTTATTTTAGTTTTAAATGGTTTTCTAATAAAAATTGTAAGAATAGTTGCTATAATATTATATGTTATAATAATAGTTATTGCTTCTATAAATGCCTTCTTCATTATGATATTGTTGTTTATTATCTATAAAAAAAAGAAATATGAAAATTATCGAAATTAAAAATAAATAAAATTTAATTTGATAAGATGTCAGAGAGTGGCTAGTAAGAATCTGATTAGAAATCTTCTACTAAATAGCCAGATGAATCTAATTCTGAAGTAAAAGTAACTAAAGCATGGGAACAATCTTCTAAAGAGTTAATAAATTAGCATTAAAATAAATTTGATGCATTCAAGGCTATTGCAGATTAGACAGGAACAATAGATGAAAGTCATTTTTCAATAGGAGGAGAATAGAAATCTGAAATATTTAAAAGATTTGATGCTGATCATGATGGAAAAATAACTTAATAAGAATGGAATCAGGGTTGGAATAACCTTGATGTTTAATTCTTAGAAACTCAACATAAAGTTGCAATTGCATAATAGAAATTGTAAATTTTAGATGCTTTGGAAGGAAAAGTTGAACCAGGACTAAACATAAGTCAAAAATCTTATAATTAATCTCATAATATGGTTGATAGATTTAAAAAAACATCAACACTTGGTGATTTAACTGATATATTCAATAAAAAATCTTCTTATAACGAATAAGAAGAATATTAAGATAATTATCAATTTGATTTAAAGTAAAAAGGTAATAATAGACCTTTAGATTAACTATTATAATAATTTAAAACTCCTAATAAGACAGATATGTTTGTAGAAACTGGTAGTGGATCAGGATAATACAAAGGTAGCAATAAATAAACTTAAAAATTTGGATTTGTTCAAGGAAGTGCTTCACCAGGATTCAATCCTACAAATTTTAAAAATGATAATTAATATAATTCAAAGATTCAATAATAAATGAATATTAATATTGATATGAAGGATAAAAATAAATCTAATAAAAGAAGAGAAGAATTAACGAGTTATATGGGCAAATTAGGTTTAGGAGGCAATGAATCAATATAGAAAACTACAATAAGTATTGAATAACCTAATTCTAGTAAATATATATAATTATTTAGATGTTTTTGAAAGAATGAAAGTTTATGTTAATAATATTGGATGTCAACATTCTAGAACTTAATCATAACCTGGACCTGGACTTGATGGTCTAGTTAATGATAAATAATTTAGTACAAGCACATTTAAATAACAATTAAAATAATATAGAAAAGAGAGAGGAGGAGAATAACCAGAAAATTTAAGTGCAAAATTCTCGAAACCATCCAATTTCATAGAGAATCCATTATTATAGGATTAGTCCCTTAAAAGTTTTCATTTGAAACTTATGCACTAATAAGGGGCATTAAACAACAATAAGTATACTAGAATTTGATAAATTGAGTTATTTATTAATGGTAATATAATGTGATCAATAATAATTATCATATTCAATTAATATTAATTAATTTCTATGGTCAAAAATCTAATATCTTTTCCAATTACGCTTATCAATGCAACAAAATGAATATTTTTACGATTTTTTCTTTTTTTCCAATCACATTTTTAAGCACTAATAAAATCTTTGAATCAAAAACTTTTCACTTAAATTAAAATAAATTTCTTTATATTTGATTATCTTTTAATTAAAGTCTAAACTTCAACTGTTTGATTATGAATCCTTGCAAAATTAATATTTAAAGTAAAACAAAAATATATTATTAAATTTGTAGTGATATTTATTAATCAATAAGTTAGAAAAGAACTGAATGTTTTAAATATTTAGGATTATTATATTAACCAAAATCAAATTATAAATTATATTTAATATCGAGCAATCAGAATAATTTATACATTATTTATAATACCTTCAAATTTAAATAAATTGATGGTATCTGTTTATCAAGAACAAAAGATTTATCTCACTCATTAAAATTTATAAATGACAATCATTATCTGATTTACATCCTAATCACTATTATTTATATTAAAAAAAATTGTTTAATTTATTTCTATTAATTGTAATTTTCTATTTCAAAAATTTGTCAATATAAATTAAGCAATTAGAATTTAAATTTCAAACATCATCTCACTAAAAGGTTTCTCTTATTTTACTGATTTTGGTACTTATTTTTCTAGATTATCAAAACCTTAACTTTAAAATTATTGAAACTCATTAATTTATCGTAGTTCTTGTTCATCCATAATAGCAATAACATTAATCAAATCAAACATTGAGTCTTTTATCTAAAAATATATATTCAATAGTTACAGGCTTTTTGTATCTATTCTTGAGTCTATCTTTTAACCATAATATATTCGAGATGGATTTATCTTCATTCAAAGTATATTTAATATTTGGTGGGCAGAATAACTTAGATTTTAGAGAACTAATACCTAAGCTTTAATATCAAAATATCTTTAAATAAAGATAATTTCAATATCGCATAGTACTTAAGTCCCTATAATAATTCGATTTTTCTTGCATTCTTGTTTAATTTTAAAGGTAGATTGATCATTAAAAAATGATGCTAAAGCACTTGCAACTGGTGGCATATATATTGGCTTTTATTCATTTACACAAAACTAATTTGAATTATTAAATTAGAAGCTAGAAACAGTAAGTCCTTACAAAAATGAAGGAACTTACATATTATCTTTGAAAACAGATTCAGCTACATATTTACAAAATTGTTTACTTGAATTTCTCATCTAAAGTTATGGAATAGAAGTGTTCTGAAAATCCATTAAAGAGGTTGATGGGAAATTATACACAAAATATGGAATATTGGATGATTAGTTTTTCTATTCCTTTGATTACGTCGATATATCATTACAATCAGTCAACATTATTTTTAATTATAATTAATAAATAGTGTACAATGCAGAATTTCACATTAAATATGTATATCAATTCTACATGCATATCATATAGATGCATTTTAACTCTATATCATATATTCTCCAAAAACATTCTCCATCTTTTTTGTATTATATATTCCACATAAAATTTCTGAATGGCAATTATCATAAGAATCGATATTTGATGACAAGAGATCTCATAAAAACATACAAATTACAATTAATAATTGTTGGATTACTTTAACATTTTTTTTGTATAACTATATTGAATTTTTTATTTTTTTCTCTTTTTTTTTATTCAATTATAATTTTATACATATTTGCAATAAGTTTTGATTCATGTAATAATCTATCTATATTTTTATGATTTTTATTTCACTTGTATAAACAATAATTTTTTATAATAATAATTTTAACTAAATTATGTTATTGTAAATTAATACATTATTATATTAATAATCCTTACCTGAAAAAATAATATTATAAGTTAGTAATTTATTGTATATATCATATTTTAAAAGATAATAATATTTATTATTTATAGCTTATAATCATTTTTATAATGCTTAGGGATTTATTATAATCATCTTGTTATTATATATATAAGTGAAATATATATAACCTAATATGATTATATTATTTTTTTTTATATTATGAGAAAAACCATTCCTTAATAACTAATTATCAATTATAATTTGTGAACGTTTAATCTTTCGGATGAATATTGATTTAATTATGCTTTGATATGTCAATCTCTTTGAACGAGTAAATATTATTTTTTTATAGTGTAATTTATATAATAATTGAATGAGCAACCATTCTATAATTGAATCATTTGTCAATAAAGAAAAAAAGAATTTGATAAAAGATTTAAAATTATTATATAAAATTATTAATAATGTTCGAATCATTACTTGAGAAAATATTGAATTCTGTTTTAGGAAAATTTATAGATGGCTTTGATGCACAAAATCTACATATTGGAATTTGGAGTGGAGAAGTTACTATATAAAATGTTTCATTAAAAGCAGATGTTCTTAAAATGCTTGAATTGCCAATCAAACTCTGTTTTAGCCATGTAGGAAAATTGAAGTTAAATGTATTTTAAATTAAAATAATAATAGGTACCATGGAAATCCTTAACTAGTTCACCAGTTGAAGTTGTTTTATAAGATTTATTTCTAATAATATCTCTAGAGCATCCTGATCACTGGTAATTTGTAGATTACTCTGGTTTCTTAAAAAAAATGGAAATTCTTGAAAAATTTAAAGAATAAATAATAACAAGCATAACAGAAAAGACAAAATAAGAAAAAGATAAAGAGGATGGATATTTTATGAAGTTTTTGTTCAAAATAATTGATAATATATAATTAAGCATAACGAATATCCATATAAGATTTGAGGATACTATTAGAAATGAATTTGCATGGGGAATATCAATAAAATCAATTGAGACCTTCACTTGTAATTAAGAATGGAAAAAACAGTATTTTGATCGAACAAAAGAAGAAAATGTATATTAAAAGAATTATAAATATAGAAAAAAGTGCCTTTATAAAAATTATTGTAATTAATAAATATTGGTGCATATTGGAATTAGCAAGAAAAAGATTTATTATATTAAAAAGAGAAGAATGAAATATTATAAAAGATGACAGAAATGGTTATATCATAGTAAGATCCAAAAGAACATCCAAGATTTGCTTAATTTATTTTATTATTGAATGCATAGGGTAAATTATTTTAGAATACTTCTGGAAGATTTGATTCTCCTGAATTTTCATTTTCATTAGAATTGAATACAATTGATTTAGCAATAGAAAATTTATAATTATAATAGTTAATAAGAATGGCAGAATTATTTTCATTATTTTAAAATAGATTAAATAAATAAAAGAAATAGAAATTATAATTAAGTTCTTAATAGATTGAAGATTAGAAATTAATATTTCTTAATTTATATGAAAAAATATTAAGAAGTTCAGATTAAACAAATAAGGCTTTGACAAAGAATGAGAATGATCTTTTTGAATAATCTGTAAGTAATTTAAGTATTGATGTATTATGTGAATCTGCTAGAGAGATAATAAAAGTAGTAGAGAAAGAAAGAGCAATAAAAGAAGCTGAAAATAAAAAGAAAAAGAAAGGAGGTTGGTTTAGTTGGGGATCAAAAAAAGATGATAATATAATAGATGAGAAAGAAAAGGATGAATTATCTAAATTTATAGATTAATTAGCAGATTCTCCAGATATTAAAGATTTAAAAAGACCATCAGATTATGTATGGTTATAAGTTAAAGTTAAATTAAAATCAGGCTCTATTTATGTATTAAAATAGTTTGAAGCAAAAAGAGAAGGAGTATAATTAAATTATTCTGGATTAAATGGATAATTGGAAGTTAAGGATAGTGGAATGATTGTGAAATTAGGTTTATAATATATAGGTATTGATCTTGTAACAGAACCAATTCAAAATGATGTTGTAATGTATTCTGAATAAAAAAGAAAGATATTTTTAGAATAAGTTAACAAATAATAAAAATTTATAGATTTTATTTTCGAAATAAATCCTATTCATCATAAAGGAGTGGATAAATATTTAAAATTAGAAACAGGATCTTTAAAATTAATATTTAATCCAATAATTATAGTTCGTATTTAATAATTTATAGATTTTTAAATAAAAGATGAGACTTTAAAAAATGCAGCTTGGGATTAAGTAGAACATGCTTAAGATTTAGCAGTAAATTAAATGGTTAAAACATAATTATCTCCATCAATATTATATGTAGATGTGACAGTAAAATCAACAATAGTTTTAGTTCCAATACCAGAAACAAATGAAAATTGGTTATTAAATTTAGGAGATGTATAAATTCTAACACCAAATTTAAGTGAAGTTCATTATGAAAATTTTGAAATAAAATTATAAGATTTTACATTTCAACATTATAAATCAATGGAAGAATGTTAAAAATGTATAGTAAATGGTAGTTATTTAAATAATATTGATTATTCTTATAGTGTAATATAGAATTTCAAAGTTTAAATAAATAGTAAACTTTTAAGAAGAAGTTCTAATCCTCCTATTGATTTATCATTATTGTAAATAGAAGGAGTGCTTCCATAATTGAATATTTTTGTAAATCTTTTAATTTATAATCGAATAATTAAAATAGCAGATTGTTTTATTGCACCAATTACAGAACCAGAAGAAGCATAATTAAGATAATCAAGAATGACTATTGAAAAAGCTTAAACAGAAAGAACAGCTTTAGTATAAACAGCTACTAAAGTTGGTAAAATTTGGAAGAGAGGATAATTATTAAAATGGACATAATATACTGGAGTATTAAGTGGAGGATATATTTATTTATTTGCTAAACCTAAAGATGAATAAGCAGAATCTTATTTCTGGGTTAGAAATAGTGATTTTGAGGATGTTCCATAAAATGAAGCAGGAATGAATAATGCATTCTATATCAAAAATAAATATGGAGATACTTTGATAGCTTTTGATAAATAAAAAATAGCTAATGATTGGAAAGAAGCTATTGAAGAAATGAGAACTATATTAAAAGTAGAAAAACATCATGAACATACACATTTAAATGATAATAAGATTAATAGTAAAGAAAATAGACCTATTAAATTTAAGTTTGAATTATAAGGCTTTTGTATGTAATTATAAGATGATAAATCTACTAATTGGTTATAAGTAGTCATTAGTGGTCTTAGTGCTGCTACATCAATATTAAATGGATCAATTGATTTAGATCTTAAATTGAGAGATCTTTATGTATAAGATAGTGTTTAAAACTATTTAAATCCATTATTCAAGTTTATAGTCAAATCAGATCCAGATCCATAATCAAATGAATTAATTAATATTACTGTTTAATAAATTAATAATAAAGATAAGAAATACAAAAATAAAAATCTAATTTTTTAAGTCACTTTTGGTACATTATCTGTTATTGCGAAACCTTTGGTTATTGCTAAATTAATCCATTTTGTTACTCCTCTTTAAAAAACTAATTAAATACAAGGATATCAATATTTAGAATAAGAAAAGAAAAAATAAGAATAAACTAAAAAAGAATTAGAAGCTATTGCACATACTACCAAATTTGATGGTATGTAAGATATTATTTTAATGGATATTCATGTTACTATAAGAAGTATCAATGCAATCTTAGTCCATAGGTTTACTATTTTACCATTAGCTGAAATTAAAATTTAAAATACTGAAATCTCATTAATTAAATATGTTGATGAATTACAACTTAATGGAACTCTTGGAAATTTTTAACTTTTTGATTTAACCAATTATCCAAACACACTAAGTTAAGAATCTGAATATAATCTAATACAACCTAAATAAATGGTTGGAGTCAAACTTCAATAATAATCATTGCTTAAAATGAATCTATTTCTATATACAGATGGGTCAATCAAAATAGTCAATAATATTAATATTATTATTCAAGTTGAAATGAGTTAATTAATTATAAATGTTATGATGTAACCAGTCTTGAGATTATTAGATTACACTCTTTAATAATTACTATATGCCTTATAACACCCTTAATAGATAATATCTCCAAATGCAGAATTGTTATAAATAGCTGAAGAGGATATTGATTAATATTAAAATAAAAAAGCTTAATATTAAAAGCAAATAATAAATTTATCTGATGATGAATCATCAACTTTAAAAAAATTATTGAATAATCCTCCTGGAATGAAGTTGGATGTGAAAATAAATAATCCTTAAGTGATTCTTAAACCAAATTAAGATTCAAATTAATCAATGGTTATAGATTTGGGAACAATTTTAGTATCAAATTAGAGAATATTAGCATAAGATAGAGCCAATACTTAAGAAAGTATATCAGTATGGGTTGACCAATTTTTATTAAATATGAAAGACATATAAATTTATTAGTAAAATGATTCAGTAAAAAGAGAATTTAGTTTGCCTTTTGATTTTAACATAAAAGTTGAAATTTTCACACTACTTGAGAAATATTAATTGAATTATCCAAAAGTGAAATTTGATGAATAATTAAAAATAAATTGTTTTGTAACACCAATGATATTATAAATAACACACTCAGATTATATGTTTTTAATGAAATCTTTATTTCATAATATAGCATTTGATGATGGATTTGATAATATGATAAGAATAAAGAATGCAGAATATTTTAAAGCTTTTTTTACCTAATAAAATCTTTAGTAAATAAAACTAAGAGAAATGCTTCTTTCTAAAAATGATTAACCTTAAATAAATTTTTCATTAGACATAGAGAATTTCACAATATTTTTATTAAGAGATATTTAACCAAAGCCAACCCCATTTTTAAAAATGATGTTAATAATGATGAGAATAACATTTTAAAAATGTAATAATGGAACAATGAAAGTAAAATTATTGATAAGAGATATGGAAGGTAATATGTTTTAGGAGGATTAATAATTATAAGAATTTATTGAATTACCATTTATAGGGAATATGAATTTTTAATAAAGATATACTAAAGAATAAGTTACAAATTTAAATGGTTTAATGAGAGGAAAACGAAATTTAAGTAATGCAGATTAATAATAGAATTTAGAAAATTCTGGTTGGTTGAATTAAAATATAAAAAGAGAGAATATTTTTAAATTTGAAGATGCTTTAAATTAATAAATTGACTTGAATACATAATATAAATTGAATTTTTCATTATAAATGACTGTGAATGGTGATAAAATTATAATAGTAGATTTATCAGATTTTAAATTATAATTGCATGCTGGTCCTCTTTTTGAAACACTTTCATTAATAGCTATGGATGATCCAGAATTAAATCCAAATCCTGGAAAATTTATAAATAACTAAGAATTTAAAATATAATAAGTTTAATAATAATAATCGGGAGTATTATCAATTAAAGTAAATTTAAGAAATGTAATAACTTGTGTTCCATCTTCAATTGAATCAAATGTATTAGCAATAAAAGGAGTATTTGATATTACATTAAAAATGTATCCATAAAAAACATTAAAATAAGTATAAAATGAAATAATAGAAAAGAATATTCCTGAAAAAGATTGGAATAAATTAAATATTTTTATGTCATTAGATGCTAAATTATAAAGAATTGAAATTTTTATATGTAAAAGTTATGAACTTGGAAAAAAGGTTGATTTTAAATAAGTATAAAAAAGAGAGATATTATAACCTGCTGATATATAAGTATTTATAGCAAGAAGTGCTGTTTTTATTGCAAATTCAAAAGATTTTGGAAATGATTTTGATATTAAATGTAGAATATCTCCTATTAATTTAAAAGTTTCATTTAAAGATTTACTTACAATAAAAACTGGTTTAACATATTAATTAAGTCAGATGCCAAAATAAAATTCTGAAGATATTAATTAAAAATAGAAAAATAATGAATTATCAAAATTAGATGCTTCTCATCTTGATAAATTGTAAATGAATTCTATGAAAGTAGATTTAGAAATTGATAAAACAAAAATTATTGTATTAAATGATATGGGAAATACATTTGCTCCATTATTTGATTTGTAAGTAGATTTATTAAAATTAATATTATAAAAGAAACCTATTTTATTTGAGATTAGTATATTAATTCCATTTGAATTAAATAATTTTAATCCATATACTTCTAGATGGGAACCAATAATAGAGAAAATTGAATTTTAAATTATTTTCTTATAAAGTTTATTAGGAGAGACTAATAATTTAATTACGATTGAATAATTAAAAGAGAATGAATCATTTAATTTAACATTATCTACTGTGTGTATTTAAACAATAATGAAAGTGTTAAAAATTATTAATAAAATGTTTAAGAAAATAGATCATAGTTCAAAAAAGAGTGCTTCAAAATCATCATTAGTAATTGAAAATGAGTAGAGTGAAGAGAATTTAATTTAAGAATCTCCATATGCAATTAGAAATTTAACAGGAAGACCTCTTCAAATAGATTTTATAGATAATCCAAATATTGAGAGATTAAATGTACCAATGAATTAATAATTAAATTTAGTATATGATGATGAAAATGATATGATGAATAATAAAAAGATAAGAAGAGTAAATGTAAATATTAAATTGGATAAAAAAACATTTCCATTAAATCGTATTGATTTAGATAAAACAAAAGGAAAATTGTATGAATAAGATGGTATATAAGCATATGGTATAGTTAAATTAGATAAAATATCTAGTTAAAAGATTCTTGTAGTATCCTCACCAGTCATAATTATAAATAAAACAAGCAAGACTATTATTTTAGAGATAAAGGATGATAAAAATTAACAAATATTTAAATTAGCACCATTGGATAATTAATAGAATATGAATAATGTTGCTCCAATTCCTATAGGATTTGAGAATTCTAAAATATGTTTTAAAATAGATGATTGTCCTTAATTTTCTGAATAATTTAAAGTTGATGCTTTAATTAGAAATTTAATGTAAGGTTAATCATAGGTTGTACATTCAAGAGATGGAATAAATATTTAATTCAAGATTTATGTAGATTAAGATTATAAAGATAAAGTTAAAATAGAATTGTAGGCTCCTTACAGAATAACAAATTCATTACCAAGAGATATTTATGTTTAAATGTTAAATCATAGAAAAGAAACTACATTTATAAGAAAATTATAACCGAAAGAGACAATGGAAGATTATTAGCATTTTTTACCTAATTTAGATAAAAAGATTAATACTTATATAAGAGTTTTAGTTTAAGGATTTTATTGGTCAAATGAATATCAATTATCTGTAATGTAAACAGAAGAAGGATAGAAGAATAAAGATGATTGTATTGGAAGATTGACATTACACGATGGAATGAATAATTAATTAATATTATTAATATATGAACCTTGGAGATAATCTGAATACAATTTAGCAACAAGAGAATTTATAATATATACAACAGGTTATATAATAAATAAGAGTGGAATGGAATTACAATATTATACTAGTGAAAAAAAGAAGGATATCGAATTAATTGCAGGATAGAATTCTATTAATACAGGAGATTTAATAGATAAAAATATTATTTTTATAGGTCCAGAGAATGGAAATGTATTATAATTATCTCATTCTTCTGCACCTTATAAAAAATCTTAATTTCCTATAGAAATATCCACTATAGGTGAACCATATATTGATGTTATTAAAGTAGATGAACAAGATTCTACTTAGTTTGTATAAACATATTTAGGAGCAAAATTAGAATTAAAAGTATGTAATAATAAACATACTCTTTTTACTAAAGTGATAACCTTATAACCAAGATTTATATTAGTAAATAATTGTGATGAAGAATTAAATATTACAAATAATGATGGAAGTTATAATTAAGTTATTTAACCAAATTAAAGAACAATATATTAAATTAAATATAACCCTAAATAAAAGGATCGATTTGAATAATAGTTTATTACAATGAATTTAAATAATAGTATGTATAATTCAAGTGGTAGAATAAATATAAGTGCTATTGGAATTGTAAATTATTAATTAAGACATAAAGAAAAAGCAAGTGATAGATTATATTTTAGTTGTGATACAAGATAAGAAGAGAGTAGTTTATATATAATATTCACTTAATAAACACTTGATTAAGCACCATATAAAATAGAGCTTGATGCACAAATTTTAGAATTAGAGATATTAGAATTAAAAGTTACACTTAGATAGGATAATTAAATTGCTTATTTTGCTTGGGATGATCCTTAATTAAATACTAAGACTTTAAGTGTAGAATTAAGAGTTGCAGATGATCCTTATAATAGTTATACTCCATTTAAATATAAGCTTAATCCAGATATTATTGGAGTATTTAAGATATATACTTTTAGACCTAAAAAAGGAGCTAAAGTTGATCCTATTTCTGTTGCTTTAACTATAATGCCTTCAGGTAATTAAAAACATGTTAAAGTTGCTATTGCTACTGAAGAATAAAAATCACTCTATTAATCTAAACCAAAATAAGACTTTCTTAAATCTGTTAAAGAAAAAGAGAATCTTGGAATTGAAGCTAATGAAGATTCTATTAGATAATCATATTCTTTATAATAATCTCGTTAATCTTAATAATAAGATACCGATAAAATTCTTAATAGAATTAATCTCAAAGTTAATTCATTTTCATTATCTTTTGTTCATAATTCATTAATCAAAAAGAGACCAGCTGAATATTTTCATTTTCTATGTAAAAATATAGAATTTGTTACTATTTCTACTAATATAAGTTTAGTTCTTTAATTAAGAATATAATATATTAACTTTGATCATAATGCAGAATTTTTTGTTTAATTTCCTGTTATTTTAACACCATAAAAATATTCATTATATTAACCAATAGAAATAAAATAAGATTAATAAGAATAATAATAATAATAATAATCTGTTAAATAATATTAATAAAGTGAAAAATATTTTTTTAATTTTTTAATAATGAAAGATAATAGAGTTTCAACAATAAATCTATTTTAAAATATAACATTAGAGATAGATCCATTTGAAGTTAAAATAGAATAATTATTTATAAATAATTTGTTAGATTTTATTTGGGCATTAACATCTTTTTAAGGATTAATAAATGAATATGATAAAAATTAATCAGTAATATTAATGAAATAAAAATAATCAGATGTTTAATCTTTCTAAGATAAACAATAGAGTAATAGTTTAGCTTAAATATAATCGGTATATTAAATAAATGAGGAATGGAGATAAAAATAACTTCCAAAAGCATAATTACCTACTTATATAAGTGAAATAATAATATCTCCAATAGCAATAAATGTTACATTTTAAATGACAGGAAAAGGAAATTTATAATTAGCATAATCTGCTTTATTTGCATCAATAGCATAGGCATTAGGTGTTGCATTTACAGATATAAGTGATGTTCCAATTTTTATATCAGGTTGGAAATTAGATAATTGTTTTGATACAATACCAGGAATGTTAGGTAAAATGATGTAATTTTATAAATTTGAAGGAATGAAATAAGTAGGTAAAATAATAGGTAGTTTATCAATAATAGGAAATCCAATAGGATTGTTTAATAATGTTTCAACAGGATTTAAAGATTTTATTGATAAACCAGCAGCAGGATTAACTTAAGGTCCTTTAGAAGCAGGTTTAGGATTAGCTTAAGGGGCTGGTTCTTTAGTATCTCATACAATAATGGGTGCAGTTAATTCACTTAATCTGATCGCAGGTAGTGTAGGTGGAGGATTAGCTAATTTAGCTATGGATGAAGATTATTTAAGAAAAAGAGAAAAAATGAAAATGCAGAAACCAAAACATCTAGGTTAAGGTTTAGGTTAAGGAGCATAATCAATTATGACAGGAATTACAGATGGAATTGCAGGATTATTTTTAAAACCTATTCAAGAAACTAAAGAAAAAGGTTTAAAAGGAGTTTTTACAGGAACAGCTAAAGGTGTTGCTGGCTTAATTATTAAACCAATTACTGGAATTTTAGATGGTTTATCATCAACCGCTGCTGGTATCTAAAATACAGTTTAATATTTTGATGATAAACCTAATGGTAATAGATCTAGAAATGTAAGACCTGTTTATGGATTTGAAGGATATATAACTGAATTTAATAAAATTGATGCTGAAGCTTATGCTACACTTTAATTCATTCGTAGAGGTTAATTAATTAATAATAGATTTGTTGCTGCATATTTTATAAGTTCTGAATAAGATGGATATTGTATGCTTAATTTAACTATTGAACATTTTATATATATGTCAGTCAAAAAGAAAAAAAAAGTATATTATTCTATTTTTATTTTAGGTTTGGATTCTATCTACTAATGAAATTGTACATTTAGATATTTTACCTTCAGGTATTAAAATATAAGTCAATAAACCATAAAAACAATTAAAAGTTAAATTATATCTTTAATTTAGGATAAATATATTACTTAATTAATGATAGAAGAAGATTAAAAATATGTTATCTATCAAACCATGTAGAACATTTGGGATTCTGTCAAAGCAAATACCTCTTGAGTTTTGTTATTTAACTAGATAATCATTTAATATATAAATTATAATATGCAATTTTCAACTCTCATCCAATTTTATTAATATTCTTTTACCATATTTTAATATTTATTAATCTTTTGTTTAAACCTTTAAAATTATTATATATTTATTACTAAAGTTGTTTCAATTATTTATCTAATTTATAATTCTTCAAACTTTTTACGACATTCAGGATAAGCACAAAGATTTCCTATCGAAAATAGTGATATTCTTGTTGGTTAAGATCCTTTATCTGTTTTTACTAATTCTAATAACTAATGTAAAGCACCATGTTTTATTAAATCCTTAGTTAATGCATTAGAATTTCTTACAAAATTTCCTAATGCTCCAGCTGCATTTGCTCTTGTTTTTTCCTTTAAATTAATATTATATAAATACTTCTTAATCTCTTAATAATTCTACTAGCATTGGTACCACTGGTCTTAACTATTCATATAATCTATCACTATGAAATCCAGCATTTCCAACTGCAAAACAGGCAAATTTACGTGTATGTTTATCTGGATCTTAACAACATTTGATACATAAGTTTATTAAATCATATTTGAGTAAATTCTCATAAAAGAATGAAGAATGTCTACACAAATTACCTATTAAATTACAAACTTTTGCTCTAATATTTGAATCTGGAGATTATATTTGTTATTTCAAATCACTATATAAATTAATCGAATGAATATTTGGATAAAAATCTTTACTAATTCTTGCTAATTATGATAAGATATTTATTGAGTCAACACTCATTATTTAATACTTTGATAATATTGCTAACCCATTATTTTAAACAAAACTTTATGCAAACTACTTATCTTCTTCATTATTTCCTACTAGTCTTGAAATAAAAGATATAACTAAAGATATGTGATCTTTTTATAAATATTTTATCAAATTTAAAGACAATGCTACTATTTCTTAATTACTTAATTCTTTAAATACATTCTCACAATTTTATTCTTGGAATGCCAATATAAATATACGAATAATTTAAATGCTCATTACATTTACACAAGCCATACCTCCTCCACTAGAACTTGGCCATTCCTATATACTTTATAATTGTGCCTCTTTTAAAAATGAACATAAAATTCGAATTGAATTATCTTAAAATATTAATTATCCTAATGCTTTAAAATTTGAATAAATTGAATCATGAATTAAAATTAATAAAGAAACAAATCCTTTTGGAGATACATCATTTCTACTTGTGATATTCAAAAGAATCTAAAATAATAACTAATTTATTTCATATTTTTCCAATAATTAAAATAAATCAGTCAATTTCTTTTATTCTTTATTATATCTAAATAGCAATTTTTATAATAATGTAATTACTCCATCAACAAATCCATAACTGGGACATCCAAAACTACTTCCTTCTAATTTTCTAATTTCTTCTGTTCTATTTTATTTTTTATTTGGATTTACTAGATCGCTTAATAATTTATAAGGCAATTATTAACTAAAATAATTTAGTAATTAATTAGTAAAATTAGTTTCTTATTATAATAATTCAGCAATCAACTAAATTGCTGATAATGAAACTATTGGATTACTCTAAATATTATTTTCAAAGATATCAATAACTTATTATATATTTACTTGATATTCTTAATTTTTATATTTGTATTATTGAACTAAGATTAATAAAGCTGTTCCTTAAAATAAAGCTTCATCTGAATTAAGTGCTTAACTTATTAACTCTTTAGGAACATGAACATCTTTACTCACTCTAATCATTTATAAAAGAATTCTTAACACAGAAATTCTAGTTAGATTTTATTATTCATCTTATTCATTATAAATTTTCATATGATCAATATCAGCATATGCTGTAACGATTTAATTTTTTAATGATTCAAATAGTGGTAAAGCTTCATTAAAATTTTGTATTTAAATTGAATATCCTTTTTTCCAAGGGAAACTAAATATTTCTCCATGAATAGGATGTATCAATACTCCAATAACTTGAGTAGCAAATTTATGAAGAGTAATATTATTTTTAGTTAATTTTGCAGTTTCTTAAGGTAAATTATGCTCTACTAATTCTTTATAAAATAAAACAGATCTAACTGGATTAAGACTAGCTTAATTAGCAAATATTCCTATAGTTTTGATTGTATTGATTAATTCATTATTTTAACCAATTTTTAAAATTTATGCAGTCATTCCAATGAATTTAATAAAGACATTATCAATACCAATATTTTTATCAAAAGTAGCTTTAGCCAGAAGACCAATAGTTTTAATTAATTCAGATAAGAGTTCAGAACTACCTTATTTGAGAATATTTTTGACATGTGTAACTAACTAAATAGGGATTTATTAATTTTTAACAACATCTAAACCTTCTTATTAATTTCCTTTAGTAATAACTTATCCAAAGACTTTCAATGCACAATGTAAAGATGGTTTTTTTGGTGGAGTTAAAACTTAAAGTAGTTTATCTAAGAATCCAGGATCACATCTTAATTAAGTAGCACCTTAAAGATCATACGCAATTGATTCACATTTAACCCAATATTCATCATTACAAGGCATTCTTCTAGGAGAGACATCTCTTGTATCTTTAGTTTAATCATAAGTAATTATATCTCTTGTAGGAGTTAATGATCTTTTACGTTTATCTATGCCATCATTTTCAACTCCAGCCCATTAACAATATTATTCTAATCTTTTTTTTCTTTCTGATTTTTCTTAATCAGATTCTTAAATAAATGGATGATTTAATAAATCTGGCCATCCTAATCTATCAGATGGTGTTTTATTTAAAAGTCCTTTTAAAAAACTTTTAAATTCTGGACTCATATTATCAGGATATTTAACAGGATCTTTAATAATAAGTTAAATAAGTGAATAAATTTAATTAGTATAAAATGGAGGTTATCCTACAAATAATTCATATAAAATAACTCCTAATGACCATAAATCTACAGTATGATTATAAGGTTATTCTTAAACTAATTCTGGTGCCATGTATAAAGGAGTACCTTTAATGGAATGTAAAACTTATGTATTTGTAGACATTGCTCTTGCAAATCCAAAATCACATAATTTAACAACTCCATTAGCAGATAATAAAATATTCTAAGGTTTCATATCTCTATGAATAATTCTATTAGAATGTAAATAATGAAGTGCTCTAACTAATTACTAAGCTATTTTCCTTACTTCACTCTCAGGAAGATTATGATCATCCTCCAAAATTTCATACAATTCTCCTTATGCAAACTAATAAATAATTACTATCTATATTACTTCTGTTACTAAACAAAATTCTCCTTATGTTTCAAATGCATCTAATAATAAAATTATATTTTCATGCTTCAATCTTCTCAATATTTCAATTTCCTATCTTAAATTTGCTAAATCTTTTTCAGTTTTTCCTCTCTTACTAATAAATTTCAAAGCTGCCATCTAATTACTTTTCTTCCATCTTCCTTTGTATACCTTCCCAAATGATCCTTCTCCTATTAAATGTAAAACATGATAATTTTCCATTTTATTTTTATTTATAATATATATGTTAATATAATATACTAATTTATTTACTATAGAATTTTTGATATCATTAATCAATTAATATTCGTTTTTATAAGTAATGAAAATTCAATTCCTATTGGTATGCATTGTTCTTGCATCCACTTAATCTTCATTCCTTGAAGAATCCATAATAAATAGATCATTTGCTCCTATGTCTAATATATTCTTAGAAAAATCAACTGATCCAACTTAATAATAATTAGAAACAGCTACACCTCCAGAAACTCTTCAAACAACTTCACTAGATAGCTACATTAATGCACAACTATAATAATAAATTCTTATTGCTTAACAATATGAGTCAAATCTACCAGCTGAAGGTGATTGCATTATTCTTTATGGAGAATGTGATTACAAAGGACCCTCTTTTAAATATTGTGATTAACCAGGAGAATACATCAAATTTGAAATCCCTGTTCACTCTGTCTATATACCAATTGGGTAAATCTATGATTTATTTTAGAATGTCACTCAAAATTAAAGATTCCCTCTATGGAAACAAACTTAATTTAATTTATAGTCATGAATGTATCTCAGAAGGAATTCACATCCCAGAACCTAAAATTTATGAAGATCATCCAAATGAATGGTTTGGTGAAATTAAAGAATCAGATAAAGCTGTTCTTGATAATGGAGAACTTGCCACTCCATAAATTAAATATTATGATAATGATGGTAATGTCATATGTAAAAATTTATTAACTTATCAATTTAGCTAAAGAAGCTTATCAAAAATTGATCGAAGCTGATTTATAAAAATCACATGATTTCTATCTGGGAATTGTTGAATAACCATAGTATTCTACACCTTAATCAGCATAATCAACAGAATCTAATGAATGATATATTTGCATAATATCCATAAATTATCATTATTTTTTTTCAACTAATTCAGCATAATATTTTTCCAATTATTCCTAAAATCCTTAATTAGGTCCTGCCCAAGGTCTTGTTTTCCTGATTTATATTAATGCTTCCTATGGCTTCATTCCGTGTTATTTAATCATATAAGCTATTATCAAGCAAACTGATCTTGATATTCCTGCTGCACAATGAACTAAAACATTTGTTGTTTAAAGGTTTTCATTAATAAAATTTATTGCTTTCTCAAAATGTTAACTCATATCATAAGATGAACAGTCATCCGCTTCTATTATAAGATGCTTTAAATTAGCATCAGGTTTAAAATCTCCTATCCAAACTGCCGATAAAACAGCACCAATTCTTTTTTCACCTAATTATTCTAAAGAATCATATCCTCCAACATATAAATTTCCTTAGTTTTAGTTATTTGAATTAATTACTAATGCAATTTAATCCTCAAACATTGACTTATTATTTATTATTTAATAAAACAAACTTACAAAGTGATTATATAAATTTCAACTATTTGAGATTATGGAGATAATAACTATTTTAATTAATAATTGGATTCCACTCAGAAAATGCTATTTGATAAAAATTTGTTTTATAAATCGTATAATTATGTATTCCTAATTTATAAATAAATCTAATAAAATATTATATGAGCCTAAACCCAAATAGCTCCCTTAATAAAATTGAACAGCTTTTCCATAACTATGAATAAAACTTAAATTAGTATCAATTCAACAGACTGCAGTTTAAACTTAGTGGATATAAGGAAAAAAAATTGATAAATGATAAAATATTAATAGAAACAAATTTGAATGATGGATAATATAATTAAACTGCGATTTTAACAGGAAAAGCTGCTGATATTATTAAAAAGAATATAGGTAAAAATTATATGATATCAAGATGAACTATTTATTAATGTGAATTCTATGGTAATATAATTGATCAAATGGAAAGTAGCTTATATGAAAAATGAATAAACTTATATTATTGTTATATATGAATTCCAATATATTACCACTCTAGAGGGAGAATAATATGAATGTACTCAATATAAAGTAGATTAACACTTACCTGTATAAAGAAAGGTCAAACTATTAATCCAGAAAAATAGACCAACTGTAAATACTTCTAATCTCTAATGGCAGCCTAATTAATCTTCAGTTAAAAAAGTGAAAATTGAAAATTAATCCTTTTCTAAAGACTCATTAATTATAGATGATAATCTATTAAATATATCAATTTTAGACACTTCAGCATGTAAAAAATAATAAGGTCAATTCAAAGATTATCAATAATAGCATTAGATATAATAATAACAGTAAGAAATCACAAAAATATCTTCTATGTATCCTAGCATGAAAAAATGGGTTTTGGAAGGAAGAGTTATCTTCAAATCATAATAATAAGATTATAGATGCAAAAAATCTGGAACATTAAAGAATTATTTTAGAATTATAATTTTAGATTGTGAATAAGAAATTATTACAGGCTTATTCTATGAAGCTTGTAACAAATTCTTTACTTTGTTATAAGAAGGAAAAGTTTATATATTCAAAAATGGATGTATAGGTCAAGATAAAACAAATGGTACTAAAAAAATAATATTCAATGAATACTCCATAATTTCAGAATCTTAAAATTATGTCATCCCTTCTTCTCCATAATTAAACTTTTCGACCCTTTAAGAAATCGAAACCTTGTAACATAATTCTATAGTTGATGTTGTAGCTGTTATTTAAGTATTCAAATGAATAATAATATTATTAGGAAATAAAATAGGATTCTGAATCTTACAAATCATTTATCGTCTTAGATCATACTACAAGATTGACGATTAAACTTTGGGGACCTTAATATGGTAAAGTACATTTATAAAAAGGGGAAATTATTGTGTTTAAAGGATTAAAATTTTATAGTACTAATTTTAAATCATTAAATTCTGATTATTAAACAATGATTATACAAAATCAAGAATTAAATGAGTAAAAATATTCTATATCTTAGAGTGAAACAATTAAAAACTTGGTTGGCGGGTAAAAATATTGACACAATAATGAAGCCAAATTAAGATAATTAGACAATAGATCTTTCATAATTAAACGAATTTGTGATTCAACTATTAAATGAAGGCAAGACTTCATTAACTTCCTATAAATACGTTTATGGTTACATTATTGAAATATAAGAATACAGAAATATGTACCCAAGCTGTCCGAATATCAGATGCAAATCTAAAATGGAAGAAGTTCCTATTAGAAAAACATTTCGATGCAAGAAATGTCTTGTAGAAAATGATTCTCCAAAATTTAGTTTTGTTTTAAATGTAACCATCATGGATGAATTTACAAATATTAAGGCAGTTATTTTTGATGAAATTGCAGTCAAATTATTGGGGCTTACTGCAGACTAACTTCGATCTATGAATTTAGAAGATTAAAAGAATATCTATTAATCAAAAGCTTTCTAACAAAAGAAAATGAAGCTTTAGATTTTATTTAAAGATTATTCAGGATAAATTTAACCATAATATAATGTCTAAGAAATTTCAGATGTTGATTATAAACAATTGACCTTGTAAGCCATTGAAACATTCGATGAAATAGATAATCTATTGAATTTATCATTAATTTTGTGAAAATTTTAAATAATTAATTAAGAATTTTAATAATATATTTTATTATATTTTCAGATTCTTTATTAGTTTTGATATTTATACAATTTTTTGTTCTAATTTAGTATTAATATTCAAAGAATTCTGTATTTTTATTACATTTTATTAAAAATTGAAATTTGAGGATCCTTTTTTTGTGTCTTTAAAAACTGAGTTAGCTATTTAACTACTAATTTCTTATTGATAGTTTTTTTAATTGAGAAATTGTGTTTCATAAAATTTTAGGATTTTAGATGATTAGATTAATATTTTTATTTTNGAAACCTTGTAACATAATTCTATAGTTGATGTTGTAGCTGTTATTTAAGTATTCAAATGAATAATAATATTATTAGGAAATAAAATAGGATTCTGAATCTTACAAATCATTTATCGTCTTAGATCATACTACAAGATTGACGATTAAACTTTGGGGACCTTAATATGGTAAAGTACATTTATAAAAAGGGGAAATTATTGTGTTTAAAGGATTAAAATTTTATAGTACTAATTTTAAATCATTAAATTCTGATTATTAAACAATGATTATACAAAATCAAGAATTAAATGAGTAAAAATATTCTATATCTTAGAGTGAAACAATTAAAAACTTGGTTGGCGGGTAAAAATATTGACACAATAATGAAGCCAAATTAAGATAATTAGACAATAGATCTTTCATAATTAAACGAATTTGTGATTCAACTATTAAATGAAGGCAAGACTTCATTAACTTCCTATAAATACGTTTATGGTTACATTATTGAAATATAAGAATACAGAAATATGTACCCAAGCTGTCCGAATATCAGATGCAAATCTAAAATGGAAGAAGTTCCTATTAGAAAAACATTTCGATGCAAGAAATGTCTTGTAGAAAATGATTCTCCAAAATTTAGTTTTGTTTTAAATGTAACCATCATGGATGAATTTACAAATATTAAGGCAGTTATTTTTGATGAAATTGCAGTCAAATTATTGGGGCTTACTGCAGACTAACTTCGATCTATGAATTTAGAAGATTAAAAGAATATCTATTAATCAAAAGCTTTCTAACAAAAGAAAATGAAGCTTTAGATTTTATTTAAAGATTATTCAGGATAAATTTAACCATAATATAATGTCTAAGAAATTTCAGATGTTGATTATAAACAATTGACCTTGTAAGCCATTGAAACATTCGATGAAATAGATAATCTATTGAATTTATCATTAATTTTGTGAAAATTTTAAATAATTAATTAAGAATTTTAATAATATATTTTATTATATTTTCAGATTCTTTATTAGTTTTGATATTTATACAATTTTTTGTTCTAATTTAGTATTAATATTCAAAGAATTCTGTATTTTTATTACATTTTATTAAAAATTGAAATTTGAGGATCCTTTTTTTGTGTCTTTAAAAACTGAGTTAGCTATTTAACTACTAATTTCTTATTGATAGTTTTTTTAATTGAGAAATTGTGTTTCATAAAATTTTAGGATTTTAGATGATTAGATTAATATTTTTATTTTATTATGATTGTAAAAATATCACTTGACAAAAATTGAAATTATACACCGAATAGTTTGAAGTTTAATTATATGTGAAAGAAATTGAAATTAACATAAACTATTTGATTTACATATTTCAATTTTTGAGTATATTTGGAGCTTAGATGACTATTAATTCCAAGTAACAAATTAATTTAATAATATAAAACTACCTAAAATTATCTTAGAAAGTATTCAAAGAATTTTGATACTTATGACGAAGTTTATATTCTAAATTCAATAATTAATAAAACTATATCAAATTTATTAGCCATTCTCATTTTGTCTGTTATTAAAATTGTTTTTTAGTTTTTCATTTAAGCAAATCGTTTTAAAAATGATTTTATACCACATAAAGCATAACAAAAAATCTACTTAGATGAAATAGTATTTAAATACCAAATCAAATGAAAAATAGATGATGTTAATTGAAAAATTAATTAAAAATATTAAATTTATAATTGGAAATATTTTAACTAAAAATAAAAATTTTTATTGATTTTGGATCTTCTTGCTA